TCACTTTACGCGGTTAATGTAACCCGGAGGGTACCGCGGAAAGTGAGGAACACGTAAAGTGAATAACATAACATATGGGATTAATTGAAATGGAGTCCGGGCCGATCCCCAAACTCCACTTTTTGACGACACACAACTATGTTGTAGTAAAAATTTTATCTTAACTTTATGATGGTATGAAAAAACAAGTAATATAGAAGAGGTTAGGTTAGGAAAGATAAAGGTTAACATAGGAAAAATAAAGGTAAGGTTAGAAAACTAAAAATTAGGTGTAACACTTACGGTAGTAGAAGAGATGGGTCGGCATATGGGGATGGAGGCTGGTTCCGAGGCAGAGGGCAGATTACTGGCCCTCAGGTGAATCACCATTACTAGGTGAATCACCATCACTGTCACTTACAGTTGTCAGGGCTTCCCTGACAAATCCCTCAAAGTCACCTTCACTGTCACTATCACTGGCTTGGGCTGGCTGTGGTGGGTTGCGGGCGAAGAAATCTGTTATGCTTTGCTGACGGCTGGCGTTGATGTTGTCGTGATACACCTTGATGTACGGCTCCATAGCCTGCACCAGCCGGGTATGGAAGACTTCATAGCGGTCATCGTCATTGTCGCGGGAAAGGAAGGACTTCATCTTCTCTGCACACTCCATGGCACCCTTAATATCACTATGACTTAAATTGTGTTCTTCGGAGACTGACGCACCTTCTTCCTCCTCTTCACTGACGTGTTCTTCTTCCAACATCTCGTCGGCAGTCACTTCAGGATCTCTGATCACCTCCAGGATGTCGTCGTTGGTGGTCTCGGAGAAGCCTGGAACTGTAACAGTCTGCGCAGCTTCTCTGGCAAGGTCCACTGCTACTGCAACATTCTGAACCTCACCAGTCACAGATTGACTCCTCCTCTCACCTGGTATTCCATGCAACACATGTCTCCATGCGTGACGAATTGTAGCAATAGACAGCTGATCCCATGACTCCACCAAGAAGTCCACAGCTTTCTTGATGTTAAATACTCTCCAGAATTGTTTGAAGAGTATTTTTTGCTGTTCTAACTGTTGATCCTCATCTTCTTCGCTCTTGCTATCGGTGGTGGTGTCACTCAGGTTACGCAACTCTTCCCTGGTGTTGGTGTAGTCGTTCAGGAGCTGGAATTTTTTTGTTGAGAATGCAGCTTTCACATTGCAAATCAACTCCTGGTCCATGGGCTGGATTAAAGACGTAGTGTTGGGAGGAAGGAAGACCACTTTTACGTTGGGGTGACGATCTAACAGTAGGGGCGAGTGTCCTGGTGCGTTGTCCAGCAGCAACAAAATATTAAATGGGACATTCTGTCGCTCACAGAATTTCTTTACATCGGGAACAAAACAGTCATCAAACCAGGAGAGGGACAGTGTAGAGAACATCCATGCCTTACGTGCGGTCAGCCAGTGGACATTTAGCTTGGTCATGTCCATGCTCTTGTAGGCGTGCGGCTTGCGGGCTGTGTGGATCACCGATAACTTGAGCTTACAGGTACCGGAGGCATTGGTGGTAAACAGGACGGTGATGCGTTCCTTCTGCATTTTCCGGCCCCGAATCCTGCTGGCATTCTTCACAACGAAGGACTTGGAAGGTAGTTTTTTCCAGAAAAGACCAGATTCGTCCATGTTAAACACCTGGTCGTCACTGTACTGTCCTTCCTCCATAATCTCACGTAAAAACGGAGGAAATTCCCGAGCCGCAGCACGATCAGCACTCGCTTCTTCACCACCAATGTTTATATTGGTGATCTTGTTCCGGATCTTAAACCTCTGTAACCACCCAGAGGAAGCATTAAAGGGTTTGGGCTCTGAAGTTCCCATCTTTCGTGCCACTGCCATGTACAGTTCACGTGCGTAGTCCTTAACAGAGCGCGTGTCGACCGCCATGTTCCGTCGCGCCTGACGCACCAAGTACCTCACAAGTAATTTTTCTGTCTTGAGAAGCACCTGGTTGTGAAAATACTTGATCATAGAAGCACCTGTAGACTTTGTGATCTTCATGTGCTCCTTTATCTTGGCTGAATCCTTCTTTATAGTCCGGATCGTAGATTCGTTCACGCCATGCTGGCGCGCCAAATCAACCTGCCTTGTTCCTTTCTCCAACTCTTGGATGATGCTATACTTCACCTCGTAGCTTAAGGAACGTCGTGTCTTCTTTGGTTTAGTGCCGCTGGGTCCAGGTAAGGAAAGGTTTCTCTCTGGGGGTGGTGGTCCGGCGGAAGCCATTTTACGGAACAATGGATGCGCGTTTACACGGAGTGGCCTTGAGGGATGAAACTGCCGCGGCTAGGTCAAGCGTCGTCTTTCCTCCCTCCCTCCCTCCCCCGGGTGGACACGTCATAATACTTTAAGCCAATTACAGCTAGCAGCAGAGGGGGGTAGGGATGCATGGCCAATCACAGGACTGATACGTCATATGACGTCAGTGATAACGCAACAAAGACACACACTGCGCAATCTTACCGCGCCGCTTGCCCAAGCGGAGGGAGGAGGAGGGAGAGGCAGGCAGGCAGGCAGGCAGGCAGGCAGGCAGGCGGGCGGGTGGCGCGAATCTAAAAATAGCGTCGCGCCGGACACTCTCCGCGTAATGGGGTTCACGTACCGCGTAATGTGAGCACGTGAGGTTCTGACAAGGCACCGCGTTAACGTGGAAACGCGGAATGCGGGACCGCGTAAAGTGAGGGTTAACTGTACATCAGTTTGTCCAGAACACCAATTAACAAATGCAATAAAACACACTAATACAAAGGTTAGACCTTTTATGAATTCTTTCACTTATGGTAACATTTCAGGAACTGCTGTATGTAAATTATATGCAAAGATTATAAATCAAGTAATCCTGCTTTTTAGACCTGCTAAAACTACTAATCCAATCCTATGATATAAATAAATGTTACAGTGCTACTTTTACTCTCTCAGCAAGGCACACGTCGATAATGAATACAGGTATGCGTATTTATTTGTCCAGCTGTATTCTAAATGAAATACCAGATTGGAACCATTAAGTTGCTAGTTATATATTAAGCCAAAGAAATTTGAAGATAAAGAAAGTAAAGGTTTCCAGCAATATTGATAATTACACAAATTATAATGCATCATGACATTAACAGCTGAAATTTTCTAACAACAGGTATGACCGTGAGCATATTTACGAGGACGTTCGTGGCAGATGCAGCACCTGTAATGTGTGGGGCTATATGTCTGTCCATGGTGTGGGGAGCTTGGTCCAAATCGACGGGAGATTTACAGCGCAGAAGTATGTGGACATCTTGGAGAATTTTTTCTTGCCCTCTCGGTTGGAAATTAATTTCCCTTCCCTCCAGGACCTATTGTTTTCGTTCATGACCGGTGCCCCATACACACGGCTAGAGTTGTCCAGCAGTGGTCTGCTGACCTTGAGAATTTGCAGCTGCTGGAATGGCCTAGTCGGTGGGCTGACATGAACCCTTTCGAAAATATATGGGCGAATATTGTGAACACTTGGAAGCCTGTGAGGGAAAGAAAGTTCTGCAAAGCTGTTTGCCCACACCAAGGCAGAATGGGAGGTATTTAGGGCCAAACATGATATCCTCCGCAACCTTGTTAGGTCAATGCCCGAAAGACTTAATGCCATTATCAACAATGAAGGTGGGTGGACAGGATACTAAAGTGAAGAATTTACGTCAGTGAAAACGAGGATTTTCCAGAAGTCCAGTGCCTAATGCCGACAAACCAAGACAAGTCTGCTGGCATGGTGTTCCTCTGTCAATGATTTTTGATGCCCAAGTCCATCCTCATATCGTCACTTATTAGGACAGCCTTTGTGGAAACAAAAATCTAGCCACCTCTCCTGAGCTTCGCTTTCACTATGTCATCTCTCATACCTTTGAGTGAAAAAATTAAATAACATTTTGCATACAGTACTTTATTTTCTCATTAATAATAAGTGACTATTTTATTTTCCGTTACGATAGCAATCACTACTTGTTTCATTTCACGTAATAATACAGTGGGGTATGCTATAACAAACGGATCCTACTACGAATATTCCTATAACGAACGGTTTTACCTATAAAATTGAGAATGCTATAACGAAAGAAACTCCTACAACGAACATTTAAAAAAAAATTTTTTTTTTTTTTTTTTTACTAATTTATTGTTTTTTTATTACAAGTATTAATGATACTCTTTATTTCAGGGGTTTAGATGCATATTTATGCACTTTTTTACAATTTGTACAATTTTATATTATATTTTTCAGTGTTAAGTGGTTGTATTTGGGGGCCTGGAACGGATTAATCCTATAACGAACGAATGCTATAACGAACAAGGTTCTAGAACCAATTAGATTCGTTATAGCATACCCAACTGTACAACTTTCCATACTTTTTTATTGCAATACTTGTACAGTATTCCTATCCTCTAAAAATAAGTTTATTATAAGAATGGGTATTATAACTAAATATTTGGTCAACATCAACCATTGACTGGCACCTGTTCTCCCATGCTATTCTTACTAAGAATTGTTGCGGGAAGGTTAAGATCGAGTGTTTCTCTGGCCTCCAACTTTAGATTAAAAATGACCATTTACAGTGCAAGAAATCAAACATTGTAATACTACTGGAAAAAACATATTCCTAAATTTGATAATCCCTTCTACGTCCATTACTTTGTAATGTCTAAAATAAAATATGATTATACTATGCAACACGCAACACAAGGACCCCCCCCCCCGCACACACACACACTCTGTTGCCAGATCGTCAGCTGATTCTACCTCTTTGGTTGTCTGGCTGGGTGTTCAACATGGAAGAGTCCGCGACTGAACTTGGGGGTGGAGCAGTGTACAGGTACCTGTACAGTTTATATTTCAAAATAAATTAGATCTTTTAACTTTTATTCTCAAAATTTGATACATTTTAAAACTTTACAAACTATATTTCTGAACACACTGCTTCATATTCTTGGGTGTCAAATTAATCATTTACCATACAGAGCTTACCTTCTGAAAAGGAAGAATATAAAAGAGTCCTGAAGCATCTCGACAATCCTCTACTTGATCACCAACAAAGGGACGTCGCCGCTCACTCTTAGCCTTCATTATGGCATTGGGCATTATTCTAATGAAGGAAGAAGAAATAGAACACTTAAAATTCTTCAATTCATCATTCTCAATACATGTATTACTATATTTTACTCGCCAGGCCAACAAACAGGCAATTAAAACATCTAATAATTACTTAATAAGTAATATTAGGAGGACAAGTAGCTACCTGGCATTTAATTGCAATTGTCGACACCCCCGCCCTTAGGCATTAACATACCTAGGTTAAAGCTAAGCGTCGCATTCTGGGTCATATCACAAAAACTGGTTTTTAGAAAAAAAATGGCTTTTTCTTAGCCTTTTCCCACTTCATGCAGGGTAGCTAGAATCATAAGCAATTACAGTAAAGTACTGTACTGTACTGTACTTATACATACAGTATACTCCCATCATCATCCATACTGTAGCTACTGTAGGTGAAAATATACCAGTCCAAAATATATTAATATGTATTGTTGTTCTACAGTATTACTGTAGCTACTTGTCACATTTATTGGTAATATTTATTCATCTATTTTATAAATTTATGTTTACTGTAATGTATTTGATTAGTCACCTCAACATAATGTACAGTGAGGATCCTAATGGAAATTAACTTTTAAAGGCTTTTTGGGGGCACTCTTTTCTTGAATCGGCTTATGTTTACCAGTGTTTGTATCCCTGCACATACAGTACAGTACAGTATACCATACATGCTGAACCAAATTGAACTTGTAGGAAAAAAATTCTGAATAAATATCCATTTATCAGTCTACCTACATTTAATCTAATGAATACAACACAGATATGGGAGACGCAAGGAAATAAAGGAACATGGTGGTACAGCGTGAGAAGGGTGTTATCCAGTGTGACCCTCACTACCAAACACCACAGGTTTTCCGGTCCCCGGTTTCCTCCTGTACTAACACTAGATAGAGCACCCAAATGGTCAATAAGCTGATAAGTGGCGAATATGATAAAAAAATAAATAAATAAATAAAATAAAGTTAATTCTTAAATAACCATGTAAAGCTTGCACACATTGTTTATGACCACCCTTTAGGTTACTAACTACACAATTGGTGAAATCATTTGTAGCCTCTAACACAATTACTGATTAGTGTTCCGAGTGAAAAATAATTAAAATTTGACAAAATAATATTAGGCAAATTGCAAATCCTTATCAATTTATGGAATTTTCTTGAGGTCAGAAAGTATTTTTCTTCTATACAGTGATCCCTCGGTTAACGAACGCCTCGGTTAACAAAATTTCGATTAACGAATTACCTTCCATAAGATTCTTCACTCCGGTTAACGAATTCCTTACGAATTTTCCCCAACATGTTTTCGCCTGCTTTCGGCTGCTCACCAGCTGTAGTATTAGTCAGCCAATACAGTAATCGGTTCTAGGGCTTAAACTCGTTACCATTTTAGTAAATATCAAGAAGGTTGTACTATTCAATAATTTTAAAAGTTTTATATTAAATCTTTTAGTCATTTTAACAATTATTGAACATAATTGAAGTACAGGAAACTAGTTTTTCGCGTGCCAAACAGCCACTCAACACACCAAGCTTGGCGTCAGTTTGTGTATCGGTTCAGTGGAAGGACATCTTGTTTGAGAATCTCTTCAACATACTCTTTTTTCTGTTTTTACAGTCAAATTATTGGTCATTTTGAAATATATTTTACATATTGATAATATATAGCGCAGTGCAGTGTTTATTTCAAGAAAATATTCTTTATTTACAGCAATAAAACTTAAAATTTCAGTGTTGAAATCGAATCCAGCATGGCTCCAAAGAAATCGAGAAAAGTTATTTCAATCCAGGTAAAACAGGAAATAAAGAAGAAACATGAACAGGGCATTATAACAAATGTGCTTAGTAAAGACTATGGCATGTCGGCATCAACTGTGTCGACAATTCTTGCACAGAAAGACAAGTTCAAAGAAGTGAAAGTGAGAGACAAATCTACCAGACTGTTTAAAGGTAGATCATTGATATCAGAAACAGAGAGGTTACCTCTCATTTGGATCAGGGAAAAGCAAATGAAAGGTGATTCAGTTTCTAAAGAATTTATTTGTGAAAGAGCCAGGGAGATTTACGAACATTTAAAGGAAGATCAACCTGGTTCTTCTGGCAGAGTTTGAACATTTTCGGGCAAGCAAGGGCTGGTTTGAAAAATTTAAGAAAAGAAGTGACATTTTCAGTGTTGTTAGGCATGGTGAGGCTGCAAGTACAGATAAAGAAGGAGCAGCAAAGTTTGTAGTGGCCTTTAAGAAACTGGTGGATGAAGAAAATTATCTTCCACAGCAAGTGTTCAATGTGGACGAAACTGGGCTGTTCTGGAAGAAAATGCCCAAAAGGACATTCATCACCAGAGATGAAGCCTCTTTACCTGGGCATAAACCCATGAAGGACCGACTCACTCTTTTGCTTGGTGCCAATGCTTCAGGGGATTTCCGACTGAAGCCTATGCTTGTCTACCACTCTGAGAACCCCAGGGTGTTCAAACAACAAAAAGTGGTAAGAGGAAAGCTTGGAGTTTATTGGAAGTCCAACCGTAAGGCATGGGTGACAAGACAGCTCCTCTTTAATGAATGGGCTGTTGAGGTGTTTTGCCCTTCTGACAAGAGCTACCTAACCACCAATAAACTCCCTTTAAAGGCTCTTCTCCTCATGGATAATGCTCCTGGTCATGACCCTAAACTTGCCAGAACTTTGGAGTATCAATTTGACTTTGTGAAAATGTTGTTTTTGCCTCCCAACACTACATCAATCATACAGCCATTGGACCAGAATGTGATCAGCAACTTCAAGAAGTTGTACATGAAGAAAATGTTTAGGAGGTGTCATCAGGCAACTTCCACTGATCCTGAACTAACACTGGCACAGTTCTGGAAGACACAATTTAACATCCTGGAGGCTGTAATATTGATTGTGTCATCATGGCGAGAAGTCTCCATTAGATCCCTCAATTCTGCATGGAAAACACTGTGGCCATCAGCAGTTCATGATTTTGAGGGATTTGAAGAAGAAGCAGAGTTGGACAAGGAGATTGTGTCCATTGGTCAGTCATTGGGCCTCGAAGTGGAGGAGGTTGATGTGGAAGAGCTTGTGATGTCTCATGAGCAGGAACTTACTCCTGATGACTTGCAGCAACTGGATGAGATGTTAGAGGCTGACAGTGGTGAGGAGGAAAGGGAAAGTGATGACCATATGTCTACTTCAGAATTGTAAGATGTTGCTCATTACTGGGATAAGTTCAGGAAACTGGCTTCAAGGCACCCAGATGTGGAAACAACAGAACCTATTTTGTGTAATGTTGAGGACAGAGTGGTCCCCTTCTTCAAACATCAGTTAATGATGAGGAGGAGAAATGCCCCACAACCAAAAATTGACAGTTTCTTTACTAAAAGGCATCGGGAAACAGATGCTACCCCTCAGCCTTCCACTTCAAGAATGAGAGAGAATGTTCTTGCTGGAGAATCTGTCAGTCCAGAGGTTCCTGACATTTTCATGGAAGGTGACTCACCTTCCAAGAAGTGGTAAAATGCTTCTCCTCCACCCCCACTTCCTTCTCCTCCTCCACCTTCCACTTCAAATTCACATCATCATCATCCAGGAGCCTTCTACATACACACCTCAAAGTAAGTGTACTTTACTGCATTTTTTTTTACTTTAGGTAATTTTCGGTGAGCTGGAACCAATTAACCAAAAACCCATTGAAACAATGGTTTCGGTTAACGAAATTATCGGTTAACGAACAACCTTCTGGAACGAATTGTGTTCGTTAACCGAGGGACCACTGTATACGTACAGTACTGTATACTGTATTAAATTTTCTTAAGTTACTGGATAATGTGTGATACTGTTCCAGCATATTACCAAGAGTGGAATAATATATCTAGCCATAGTAATTTTTGTAACAGTCAAATACAATAACTCTAAAATTAAAATAAAACAATAAATAGCTAATGAAGCTACAGTAAGTAAAGATGGTGATTTTCCATATTACCCTGTGCGGTATTGACCTATAAACATTGTACATTATTGTAGAAATGATTCACCGTTAGTCTGAGCACAATATAACACTTTCCACATGTAGTAAATAATTTACATATTTATTTTTCCAGATTTAGCATTATTGATGGTACAGTAATTTATGAGAACACCGCTACCACCAGAAGGAGTTGTTCGATTTCATTCATTTTCCATATACAGTCAGCCTTTAACATACGCGTGGGTTAGGTAACAGAGATACCCATGAATGTTAAAAATCTGTGTACTATTGCTGCTCCCCCCTAAAAAAACCCTGGCCCCCCATGTCCTTATTTACCATATATACCTGTGTGTAGTTCGAGTTTTTAAGACCAGATTATTTGGCAAAAAGTTGGGGGTCGACCTCTAAACGGGTAATAGTTTTGTTAGGTTGAAAAATATTTACCAGTAACTACCAGTAAACAATGGAAACGATGCACCAACGCACCACCAGCTGTGAGTGTCGGTACAGTTGCCAGGGCAGATCTCTTGCATCATCATAGCAAGCCCAAAGTAGCCAAATGCATGATATGGTAGCACAGGACGATGTAAAACATAAAGTATTCATTTTTTAAAGTTTATTTATAGATACTGTACATAAATTTTTGTTCATTACATTTGAAACATCAATCTTTGTTAATTAAATTTGAAACAAAAGAAAACTACGATGCCGTATTTTCATTAAAATATTATATCACAAGTATATTTTACCTTAACTGTGACTGAATGAATATATTCTCAGAAATAAATATGGAAATGTAATATTTTGGCTGAAATGACGTACGTATTACAGTGGAAAGTGGGATAAAATCATGATGAAAACAATGACTTTCACTTTCTTTCGTTGTTCAAAAGATTTTACCGTAATCGCTTTTCGAATGGTTTTCAGTTAAAAAACTGTTGTACTGTATTACAATAATATTCTATCCTATCATTAGCCTCATAATCCCACAACTGAAAACCATTTGAGAAGCGATTACGGTAACATCTTTTGAACGAAAGAAAGCGAAAGTCATTGCTTTCGTCACAATTTTATCCCACTTTCCACTGTAATACGTACGTCATTTCAGCAAAAATATTACATGTCCATATTCTCAGAAATAAATATTAGTTTTGTTGAAACGTAATGTACAGTATTTAATATAAAAATGCAAAAAGAGCTAAAAAACAATTAATACTGTACACCCGTAATGTACTGGCTGGCATCTCCACTCGTCACCACTCCTCCCCGCTCTATCCCTACGCCTCCTCCATGTCACTACCGTTGTATTACAATAATATTCTATCCTAATTCACTTGAATAAATACTATGATACCATGTTTCTGAATATTTTCATTAAAATCCATCAAAATCATTTTCCTTGTCATCGTTTTCAGCACCAAACAGCTCCTCCCAGTCTTCTCCTTGAACAGGGCTAGAGGGTACGTGTTTTTCGAATCGTTTTCAGTTAAAAAATTACATCACATGTATATTTTAACTAAACTGCGCCTGAATGAATATATTCACAGAAATAAATAGTAGTTTTGCTGAAACGTGATGTATTTCAATGTAAAATAGGATAAAATACATGACGCAAAAAAAAGACTTTACCTAACCTTCCGATGTTCAAGAGATGTTACTCGTTTTTTTAATAGTTTTCGGTTAAAATACTGTTATATTACAAGGATAGTCTATTCATACTGTGCTTGATATACTACATTCACGGAAATGTAATGTTTTTGCTGAAATGACGTACGTATTACAGTGGAAAGTGGGATAAAATCGTGAGGAAAGCAATGACTTTCGCGTTCTTTCGTTCAAAAGATGTTACCGTAATAGCTTTTTGAATGGTTTTCAGTTAAAAAAACTGTTGCATCACAAGTGAATTAGGATAGAATATTATTGTAATACAACAGTTTTTAACTGAAAACCATTCGAAAAGCGATTACGGTAACATCTTTTGAACGAAAGAACGCGAAAGTCATTGCTTTCGTCACTTTCCACTGTAATACGTACGACATTTCAGCAAAAATATTACATTTCCATATTCTCAGAAATAAATAGTAGTTTTGCTGAAACGTAATGTATTTCAATGTAAATTACGATAAACTACATGAAAACAAAAGACTTTACCTAACCTTCTGATGTTCAAGATATGTTACTCTTTTTTTAATAGTTTTCGGTTAAAATACTGTGGTATTAGTGATATTCTATTCATACTACGCTTGATATAATACATTCACGGCAATGTAATATTTTTGCAACTACAATGCTGATGTCAACACAAGCGTGGTTACAGCGAGACTGACTGAGTGAGGGAGAGCTATGCGTGTGTGTGTGTGTGTGTGTGCGAGGTTGCAGGAGCGGGCGGTGTCCCGTGTTCGGTGCCGTTCGCGAGTTGAATGGCGCGCGATTTGAATGTACTTCAATTACTTCAATGTACAGAATATTCCTCCGGCTGGGCAATCCGCGTATTTGCAAATCCGTGTAAGCTAAACCCGCGTGTGTTAAGGGCTGACTGTACTGTACTGTATAGATGTTCTCATTATCATATTAAATATTTTAAAAGAGCCAACAACTTTTTATTTTAAATATTAGTATTTTTTTTCTCTATCTACGACATAAATTACCTGTAGTGGGCAGGGCATGAAGGATGATGGAAATTGCTGGGTAAAACATGGTCAAAATCTAATCATAGGACACAAAAATTATGTCTTTATATGCCGAGTCACTGCATCCTGTTTGTTTATTTAAACATAAAATGTCAAATTACACCATGACGCTTCAACAAAGTTGCTTTCATTGGTACCAGTTATCAAAATAAGTCCAGTATAGTACAGTACTTTATATTCAATTGGTGCACAGCACTTATGGGAATGAGAGATTTCCTGGTAACAAGACGACTCTCTCAAAGCCGGAAAAATATCCCTCATCCCCGGAATTTTCTGGGTAACGGAAAAATTTTCTCAGAAGTTCCAGAAATTGCCCATACATCATCTCTCGAACCCGGAAAAATATCCCCCATCCCCAGAACTTTCTGGATACGGGAATATTTTTCTCGGAATTTCCGGAAAATGCGCCAGATTTTCATTTCTCATACCCGGAATTTTCTGGGTATCGGGAAAATTTTCTCGTAATTTTCTGGTTAGGTTAGGTTAGGTTTTTCAATGATAGACCCATTTGTTTTTTCAAAATCTCAGCAAATGCTTATTTCTGATGGCAATGAAGGTCGTATTTGTATTAACATGATGATTTACACTGCAAAACACATTTTCAAAAGTCAATTAGGTGGTCGCAGCTACTAAATATTTACCTTAGAATCGTTTAAACTATGTGAAAAACGCATAATGTATTGAAAAATCGGGTGAATTTATAATTTTACACCGGTCTTTCTTTCGCTGTTATTAATATGTATTTTGTAATGTTTAGACACTTCTGAGACATTTTTCTTCTATGATATTTCCACCGGAAATTAAGGATAACCGAGATATTAATTTTTCAAGATTATTACAATCGCTCATTGACGTGTCTCCATGTCTTGTTTACGTCTGGCGGCGAAGGTGTGACACCCGCTCATGCATCGCTCCAGACCTCCGTGTTTGCTAATTAAGCATTTACAGTGCATGTGGCTAAAGCAATAGGAGCATTTTTATTGGGCAAGATTTTTTTGTTTTAGCCAATGAACAATGAGTGGGCGGGTCGAGAGCGGAGATTTGAGTTGGAAGAGCTGTGCCGACATTGTGAGAATGATTATTTTGCGCCAATTGCAGAGTTACACCAGAAAAATAGTAAGGGAATTTCTTTTCTTTTTTTTAGAAAACGCGGTGTATTACCGAATATAGTTCTTTGTCCAAAGTGTAATAACCAGTGTACACTGCGTGAAGAACAGCATATTTGGCTGTCACAATAGTTTTAAAGATTAAGGTAAGACATGGGGGCATGAAGCATGCGGGGTTCGGTCAGGTTTTGTTGGTTGGTTAGTATTTTATTTACATATTTGATTTATTCGAAAAAGAAAATCCAACTGTTCCCGTTATGATTGTTGGGTGGTGGTGGGGGAGGAGGGTATTTAAAAAAAGGTGATTTCCGGAGGAAATGGATATCAAATTCGTTCAAAACTCATCAAAACCATAGGAAAAACCTATTTTTAATATAAAAATAAGGACTATAAATTGACCAAAAATCGTAATCAGGCTGCTATCATAAATTCACTGAAAAGTTTCTAAGAATTTTTCAAACTACTGATTACAACTACACAGTTCACAAGATTGGTTTAGTGGCAACAAATGGAATATTACCATAATTTGTTAATTTTTACTATTTGAACTTTACCTTGGTTCATTTTGGTTTGAGAAGCCTCCTTTTATAGTATAAGCCCCATTGTCAAGGATAAACACGTTTGCCATATTAGAGGACCTCCAGTAGACTCCGTGGCAGGCGGCGGGGTGTGTGTACTGCTCCTCGCCCCGCAAGGTACACCGCTCGCTGTCAGTGTGTAATGTACCTTATGAGGGGAGGCAATAGAGGTGACAGAGCTAAACTCTCTTTTTATAAGTGAAACAGTTAAATAAACTATTTATTTATATATTATTGTTATATAATTTATATTATAATGAGAATTAATTTTTAAATAATTATTTGTATACTATTTTTATTTTAAAGGTAAGATAACGTTGTAAAGGAAGATCAGGTGAGAAGATGTTGTTGTGGTCGAGAGTTAGTGAACAGATGTCAACAAACAGTGGCCGTCCACCAGAGGCCCGAGCTATAGGGGGACACTTAGAAGGTTGTTATCAGGACACGAGAGACATCTGTAAGTAAAATAAACCTAAAATATAAGAGTAGGCATTTAGTAATTAGTTTAGGCGACTAGGCAATGGGAGACCCAGATTTGGGAGGAAGGGGGACAGGACACTGATGATCCCTGGCACGGGTTCAACATGTATGCAGCCTAACAACGACTCACAGACATTGGAAGTAGTACACATAATTAATTTTATGAACTTAAGGAACTTAAATGGTAATAGAAAGTATAGTAACTATCGGGGGTAGAAAGTCACATACTCCCGGCCGCCAGAGGCGACCAAAATATCAGAAGGGCGAGTAGATCTTAGAAATTGACTGGATTTTAATCGCCTGTCAGGCAACTAGTATGTTAGACTCATCGTGTCTTGTAGCTATCCAGTTGTTTTGACAAAAAGTGCTTTTAGTGCCCAGTTTATAAAAAGCATTGCAAGAGCAAACGTGTGTTGTACGTATAAACCCACGTACTTGGTCGTTGCACCCTGCTGCTCCCAGGGAGCCAGTGATCTCAGTGCAACTAATACTTCTGTACAGTATTGATGTGAGGCCAAAGCTTTTGTTCATAATGGTATGTAGTGCTATTTCTACAAAATGAGTAAGATATCACCTGTTTCAAAACTGTCCTGGCAGCAAATATATAAATCTTACAGAGAAAAGTGTGGCTCCTTTCTCCATTTAGTTGACCTTCTGCTGTCCATTCCAACTAGTTCTATTGATGCTCAACGTGGCTTCTGCCAGGTCAAGCTCATCAAGACAGACTGGTGCATTCGTCTCACCGATGACCACTTGACAGATCTCCTAGTGGTCCAGTTGCAGTCAGAATGTGTTAGTAACTTCAATCCACCGTGTTGATGGGTATAACCACACAGATGGCTGCAGCACAGAGGAAGTGCTGGACGATATCGAAGAATTGGACGTGGAGCATATACAGAAACTTACTTACCAAATCCAGTGAAGAAGAAAGTCCTCAGTTACTTGCAGTTACATATACATTCAGTTCAGGAGTTTTTTAAGAGGATGTAAAAAAAATGTATATAAATTTCAGTTGATATAATTTAAACAAAGAAACAGACTTTCCATATTATAATAATGTGTTGTACATGCCAGTGTTTGGAATTTGAATCTAATTTACCTTTTGCTATAAAGTTAAATATTGTCTAAGTAAACAATATTCTATGTAGGCCTACCCAGTATATGTCAACTATTGAAAGCAGATGTAAACAAGACTAAATGTAAAGTGTGTGGCCATATGTCTGGCCACACACTTGAGCACTACGTCCTCGACTGTGTGAAGATAGAACCTTTTAGGGACAGGTCCAAGCACACTGTGTGTGAAATGGCACAACACCTCATCTCTAATGGCAAGATAGCCGACATATTAAGATTGTATCCACAATGTGCTTGAATACTTCTCACGTAAATGTGAATAACAAAGTGTGCGGCCAGACATACTGCCTCACACGCCTGTACTCACGCATTTGTGAACAAGTTACCCTTTATGTATAGAACTAAACAAATAATGTAATTGAAATACTGTGTAACATTCAGTGCCATAATATCCTGACAACGGGGGTTAATTATTATGACCCATTGTAAACTCTACTCTGTAATCCTGTTGCGCTACCGCTCACAGGATGAGTGCGGGGTGCACAATAAAGTAGCCTCTGGAAGCGGCAAAATCAAAATCAATATTGAAATTTGATTTTTTTTTTCATGTCTCGTAAAATTTTGGAAGGGCTAATAAACTTTGAGAAGGGCTAGCAACTATTTGGTTCTATTAGCCTGGCTGGCTATCTAAAAAAAAGGGCGAATTTCTACCCCTGACTATACTAATGCTCTGGGATGGGGGCAAAAGGCATTCACTTGAGCAATATTGTGAGGTACGTAGCACGAGGTTGGCTAGAGGGTGTATTGAATAGTCAGTCAGCTGACTTCTGGAACACATAAACAAACATGATGGGTATTGGTAGTACAGCAGTAACGTGGGAAGTGGCTATATACAGTATAAGACCGTCCTGAAGTTAATTCTAAAAGGCTATATTCAGGACCATTTTTTATTTCAGGGAATCTCGCGAGATTTTGCGTAATTATGGAACTAGTCTTTGAAACATACTCATATGGGTAAAACTGCAGTTTTGGACAATGTGCCCTAGTATTTGAGCAATGTGTTTTTCCGATGGTTTAGACAATTTGAAGACACTTTTCTTCTATGATGTTTCCTTCACATATGACCTAAAATTACCTAACCTAACCTCCTAACCAGGGGTCCTTTGCCCCCCTGGATCCCCCTGTATATTTAAGTAATTTGCGAAGGAAATGTTATAGAAGAAAAGTGTCGTCAAATTGTCTAAACCATTGGAAAAACACATTGCTCAACTCGAGTTCCATAGTTCAAGTTCAAATTTAGAAGCTCCAAAAAGTTGTTGGTAGCGAAAGTCAGAGCGGGGAAGATGACAGAGGAAGGAGCAGGAGGTTAGGAAGGGAATTGTAGTGGGAGAGATAGTGCCGTGGCTTTACACGACTGCGTTTATTTGGTTAGCGCATAGCGCACGTATTTGGTTTTGTCTGTGTTGGGTGTGTGATCCTCGGGTCACCACTCCTCCGGATTGTGTTAGTTCCAAGTTTAGAAGCTCCAACAACTTTCCCTGAATACGAATTCGCAAACTTTTCGATTTACAACAGGTACCTACTTTACTGCTAGGTGAACAGGGACCAAGGGGGCTAGGAAGAGTGTCCAAACAACTTCCGCTTGCCCGGGAATCGAACCCGTGGCATCTTGCTTGCGAGGCAAGAGCGGTACCACTTCTACCACAAGCGCCCCAGTTCCATATTGTCTGAAACTGCAGTTATACAGGTTGTACCTCTCTAGTACGGCATTCTGTGGTCCGGAAACTCCCGGGGTCCGGAACCATTTTAGTTTGTGCAATAGGTAGATAGGCAGCTTTTTTTTTTTTTTTTTTTTTTTTTTTTTTTTTTTTTTTTTTTTTTTTTTTTTTTTTTTTTTTTTTTTTTTTTTTTTTTTTTTTTTTTTTTTTTTTTTTTTTTTTTTATATATATATATATATAACTGAAGTGAATTATTATTACAGAGTATTAAATTTTTGCCCCTCAGGCCCCAATGTGGGTCAGTGACCTATGCCCGGGTGGGCTAATCCCCTTAAAAGAAAAAAAAAAAAACAGGAAATTAAGGCTTGTTTACATCCGGCAGTTCGGCTGCTCTCTCTCTCTGCTTGTCTGTACAGAGTACAACATTTAACCCTTCAATATATATGAGCAGTAAATAAGTGTTGCTTTCATATTCTTATGTAGAGTAATGATATGTTTTCACCTGTGCGCACTTACATACGTGCAGTCTCACTTTTTTTTTACCATTAATGGTTAGCTACTTATATTGTTCCATTTATTAACATTAAATAACATTACAGGTACTTCAAACAACCATATTAATTTTTTTACATTAATTTTACTACAGCTAAAATCAGGGTCTTATTTTCTTCAGTTTTATATGTAGAACCAATCAGTCACTGTTTTGTAAGCTTTAACATAAACAATGCCGGCAGCCGTCTCGTCTCTAATATTCCACGTATTATTAATAAATTGTACAGTAGTACCCCGATTTACGCGGTCAATTGAACCCACAGGGTACCGCGGAAAGTGAAAACCGCGTAAAGTGAACAACAGAACATATGGGATTAATTCCAATAGAGACTGGCCCGACCCCCAAATTCCACTTTTTCCGACACAATACCTATGTTGTAGTAAAAATAACATCTAAATTTTATGATGGTATGCTCACACAATTAATATTTAAGAGAAATACAGTCGCCAGGTTAATGTCCATTCAAATAATGGACTCAAATCCCCCCCCCCCCTCTTCCCAGCTCACTAGCTCCTACCTCTCTGATTAATGTTTGGGTGAAAACTCTAGATTTTAACGTTTAGTAATAAATAATACCTCAGACTAAAGTTAGGATAATATAATTGACATTTCTGGATTCCTTGCAGGCCAGGGAATATTTTGAATGTAAACTTCATATATTTTGCACAAAAGATAAAATACTTGCTTTGTGTAAACCAAATTATTACATTAGATCTAAAATTTGTATGTCTAATGCAAAATCCATGATGTTTGTATTCAAAATGATCATCATATTGTAAGAATTCCAGCAATGTAAATTATATTCTGGTCGAGTAATTTGTATGAATTTTATGAGCTAAAACAAATATCTTCAGTTAATAAAAAAAAAAATATTCTTCACGACACTATCTGTCAATCAAAGTACCCCACCTTGCCTCCTCACACTCACGCCAGCTGGGTCGGTCGTCCCAACCCTCCTCCCCCCACCTTCCCTCCCTACCAGATAAATGCGTGGGTGAAAACTCTAGATTTTAACGTTTAGTAATAAATAATACCTCAGACTAAAGTTAGGATAATATAATTGACATTTCTGGATTCCTTGCAAGTCAGGGAATATTTTGAATGTAAACTTCATATATTTTGCACAAAAGATAAAATATTTGCTTTGTGTAAACCAAATTATTACTTTAGATCTAAAATTTGTATGTCTAATGCAAAATCCATGATGTTTATATTCAAAATGATCATCATATTGTAAGAATTCCAGCAATGTAAATTATATTCTGGCCGGGTAATTTGTAGGAATTTTATGAGCTAAATAAAAAAAAAATTATACTTCACCGCGTATATGAGTAGATGCACCGCGGAAAGTGAAAGTCTGGTTCTGGCAAGGTACCGCGTAAATGAGAAATAGGAAAGTGATACACGGGGTAATACTGTATTGTTAATTTTGCACGCACAAACATTAATTCAATAAAAACAAATTCAGAAACATTAATTAAAATATATATGAACAGTAAATAAGTGTTGCTTTTATATTCTTATGTAAAGTAATGACGATATGTTTTCACGTGTGCGCATGCGCACTTACATACGCGATCTCTCTTTTTTCTTTACCATTATCGTTAGCTACTTCTATTGTTCCATTTATTAACATTAAATAACATTACTTAAAACAACCATATTAATTTTACTACAGCTACAGCCAAGGTCTTATTTTCTTCAGTTTTATATGTAGAACCAGTCAGTCACTGGTTTTGTAATCAACGAAAACAATGCTGTGTCATTTCCTCGTGTGTTTTAATATTCTACGTATTATTAATGAATTGTATTGCTCATTTTGCACACATAAACATTAATTCAATAAAAAAGACATTCAGTAATAAACAATAATGAATCTTTTGTACATAAGAGAAATGACGCTGTTTACACGATTATGCACGTCGTCTGCACGTTGGCGGGCCGTTCAAACCCGTCGAAATTCAAGTTTCCGCCGTCAAAATTTTTATTTATTTATTTTTTTGTGTGTTCCAATAAAATACGTTAAGAATTAAAAACTCGCGAAATTTGAGAAGCTACTATACGACATTTAACCCTTCAATATGTCTTCAAAGAGACCATGATGCAGAGAAAGTGGTGCTAGTGCTTCCAAGCATAAGCACAAGTCACTATCTATCCAGGAAAAGGGTGAATTTTCATGGTCCGGCGCCGGTCAGGTCCCGAGGTTGCCGGACTAGAGAGGTACAACCTGTACCTTCATATGTCACGTCAGGATAAGATCGGGTTGCCAGATTTTCCATTTTCATAATGCATTATTATTTTCATTTTCATCTCTAAAGTAATTGACTGTCTCTTTTTCTTCTCAGCTCCACAAGAACTCTCACTTCTCTGCTTGCTAGCCATTTTAAAGGGAATTACAAACAAAAATTTTGTCAGTACACAGCGCGATCACTAACAACAACAACGATGGCCAAACAACAACTGAGCGGACTACAACGTGGATGCTGTACACCACGAGGCGGCCCTGCCCAAGCTATCGTATGGCATCACATTACGACCAAACGCCGGGACTCGAAAAAACGTGATGTGAAAAATATTTTATACGACCATGGCCGTCGTATGTCCGGGTTGTCGTAAGTCGAGGAGAGACTATCAGCATGGGAGGGGAGGGAGATATGACAATCATAGCCCAATGCCCAGGGGTTAAAATACAGTACATGTACTTACTATATTAAGAAGAACATCTGTGGAGAAAATGAACGAAATCTAACAACTCCTTCTGGTGGTATTGCTATTCTCAGAAATTGCCAAAAGATTAGTTCAGAAATTACTCGAAATCTTGTAGGATTACCCGAAATATATTGTACAGTATTTATTTTTAAATAATTTGTGGGGATGGAGGGACTTATCAATAAAGCTAATCTCCAAAAGTAGAAATGTAAATTAATGACTGCATGCGACAAGTACTACATTGTACTTAGACTAATGGTGAATCATTTCTACATTACAGTAGCTGTACAACATTCATAGGTCAATAACACAGAAAGTCACCATCTTCACTTACTAGCTACTGAAACTTCATCAGGTATATGTTCTTTGATTTAAATTTTAGTTATTTGACTATTACAGTGACCCCTCGGTTAACGAACTCAATCCGTTCCAGAAGGTCGTTCGTTAACCGAAACCATTGTTTCAATGGGTTTTTGGGTAATTGGTTCCAGCTCACCGATAATTTCCTAAATTCAACAAAAATGGTAGAAAAGTTCACTTATTTTGAGGTGTGTATGTAGAAGGCTCCTGGATGATGATGATGATGATGGGAATTAGAATGGGGGTGGAGGAGAAGGAAGAAGAAAACGCATTGGGGTGGAAGAGAAGTCACCCCATGGCACCATTTCATCCATAAAATTTTAGTTCTCTTGGTGTATTTCAAGATTATTTTCTTTAAATCAACACTGCACTGCATTATATATTGTCAATATGTAAAATATATTTCAAAATGACCAATAATTTGCTTGGAAACACAGAAAAAAAGCGTTCAGTTGAAGAGAGCCTCAAGCAAGATGTTACCTCCACTGAAAACAGAGAGAGACTAACGCCTGTCTGGTGTGTTAACAGGCTGGATGGCACGCTAGAAACTAGTTTCTTTACCTTCAATTATGTTCAATAATTGTTAAAATGCCTAAAAAAGTTAATTTTAAACTTTTAAAATTATTGAATAGTATAAACTTCTTGATATTTACTAAAATAGTAAGGAATTTAAGCCCTAGAACCGATTAATGTATTGGCGGACTGATACTAAAGCTGGTTGCCCGGTGAGTGCAAGCGAAAACATGTTGAGCTCGGTTCGTAAGAAATTCGTTAACCGAATTTTTGTTCGTTAACTGAATTGAAGATCCTTATGGAAGGCAGTTCGTTAACCGAAATTTCGTTAACCGAGGCGTTCGTTAAACGAGGGGTCACTGTACTAAAATTAATATGGCTAGATATATTATTCCACTCTTGGTAATATACTGGAACAGTATCACACATTATCCAGTAACTTAAGAAAATTTTAATACAGTATAGAAGAAAAATGCTCATATTCCGCTGTAAGGCCGGCTACACATGAGTGTGTGGTTTTGCTATTTGTAACATTTACCAGGACCTCAACCCCCACAAATCCCAAAGGGGTGATGTACTATCCATCACAGCATGTATTATCTGTTTTTCACTTTCAGATTATCAAAATGGCAGCACCAGACCTAGCATCTGAAATTGAACAAAGGTACTGTAATAATCCCCTGTATGCTATACTGTATGAACTGTATCCCTTTCTTTTTTCATTCTAAATCTTCACATACTGTATACAGTAATACCCCGATTTATGCTGTCAATTGAACCCGCGGAGCTCCGCTTAAGACGAGAAACACGTAAATGGAATAACAGAACATATGGGATTAATTGAAATAGAGACTGGGCCGACTCCCAAACTCCACTTTTTCCCACACAATACCGACACAGTACCTATGTTGTAGAAAAAAATAACATCTTAATTTTATGATGGTATGCACACACAATTTAAGAGAAATACAGTCGCCAGGTTAATGTCCATTCAAATAATGGACTCAACTCCCCCCCCCCCTCTCTTCCCACGTTTGCTGGCTCCTCCCTCTCTGAGAAATGTTTGGGTGAAAACACTAGATTTTAAGGTATAGTAATAAATAATACCTCAAACTAAAGTTAGGATAATATAATTGACATTGCTGGATTCCTTGCAAGACCAGGAATATTTTGAATATACACGTCATATATTTTGCACAAAAGATAACATATTTGCTCTGTGTAAACAAATTCTTACATTAGGGATCTAAAATTTGTATGTCTAATGCAAAATCCATGATGTTTATATTCAAAATGATCATCATATTATAAGAATTCCAGCAATGTAAATTATATTCTGGCCGGGTAATTTGTATAAATTTTATGAGCTAAAACACATATCTTCAGTTAATAAAAAAGTATACTTCACCCAGACATTATTTGTCATTCAAAATAACCCACCTCCGGCTCCCCCCCTCTTCCCACACTCACTGGGTCCCTCCCTCCCTCCCTCCCTACCTACCCCCCACCCCCCACCTTCCCTCCCTACCAGAGAAATGTTTGGGTTAAAACAGTATACAGTATTTACATTTTTAGTAATAAATAATACCTCAGACTAAAGTTAGGATAATATAATTGACATTGCTGGATTTCTTGCAAGACCAGGAATATTTTGAATATACACGTCATATATTTTGCACAAAAGATAGCATATTTGCTCTGTGTAAACAAAATTATTACATTAGATCTAAAATTTGTATGTCTAATGCCAATTCCATGATGTTTATATTCAAAATGATCATCATATTGTAAGAATTCCAGCAATGTAAATTATATTCTGAGCTAAATAAAAAAAATTATACTTCACCCACGTATATGAGTAGATGCACCGTGTAAAGTGGGAATTCAGGTTCTGGCAGGGTACCTCGTAAATGTAGAAACACGTAAACGAGAACCGCTTAAAGCGGGGTATTACTGTACTCACAAAACATGGTGTTTAAACGCAGATACCCCAACCAAACATCCATACTTAACCACAATTCAGGTAAAGAATATCAGGGTGACTACTGTAATTAGAACTCTTACGTGAACCAGAATTATTCTTACCCACTCACTTAGCACACTTGATTTGTCTCCAGGCACTCCTCTACTTGGACAATTGAAACAGTAATGTTAATGAGATCTTCAGTTATTCTTTTAGTGACAATACTGTACATACAGCATACTGTACTGAACAGTTTTTATAACCATAGGCTGTAAGTCAGTACTGTACTATCTAATCTATTTCCTACACATTTTGGCACATTGATGATACAGGTACAGAATTGAGAGGGTTAATTTAGGTAATTTCTTACAGCCTTTATGTTAATTACAGTATAGCATCTACAATTGTTTTTAATTAAGCTCCATCATTAATGTTTTATGTCTATATCTCATCCTTATATTATTTGACTAGCTGTCACCTATGGACAGTTATGCTTCAAGTAATTTTTATGCCTTGAATTGCATTATGAAGTCACTTTTAGAATATACATTGTTTTTTTTAATCCTGGAAATCCCTGGAATTACATCTAATAAATTAAATTTCTTTGCAGAGTAATTCAGTTATGTGGAGAATTCAAACAAGGCATTACATATCAGATAATCCAGAATGACATGCCTGAGCTGAAACTTGCACAGATTGTGGATGTCATCAACAAACTCTTGGCAAATGTAAGTTGACATTCTAATACTGTACACTGCTATTCAATTTCATATTATGCTTTTTGATAACATCTTTATTTGTGGCATGGTAGCTCTTCTTTTTGGGGGTACTTTTGTACAGTATTGTAATATGAGAACACGGTACAGTACATTAAATGCAGGATCTCATCTAAAACATTCTTTGGACGAGACATAGTCTTACTCTCACTAGCCAGGAATGACTACCAATTTTTTTTAATGAAGCGTGTTGTTATAAGAATACAATACAGTACAGTAGTTATAAGTTTCGTATTACTGAATAAACATTAATTTATGAAAGAAAAAATTTAACCTCCTAAATCTTGTTAATCAGTTTACATTAGGCAAAATGTACAGTGGTCCCCCATTTAGTCTTTGGATTAAGTACCAAAAAAAAGTCAGTATACAATACTGTATTTTGATTTGAAGTAGAGTACATAATATTCAGTTTCTTTTTGGTATTGGGGGTGAGCTCATAAATTTTTGTCATTCCCCCAAAATAACATTCTGATCCACTTTTATAATTTTTACATTTCAAGGAAACCCTTGTAGTATATACATTTATTTATACCCATGAATATTAGATTTACATTAATCTTGATGAACGAATTAAAAACATTATTATCACCAGCCTTGGACAGAAGTTCCTATATTTCTTCCTTTTTAGGGATGCTAAGGTAGGGATTCCTGTCTGATGCTTCTCACTTGAGCTTTTTAAAGTACTGGTATCATTTGTATGTGTTTGGCCAGATAGAAATGACAATTTAAAAGACAATACAGATGCTGCTCATGATATAATGAAGCTAAAATACCTTGTCTTTACACTAACTAGGTAGAAATTTCACATTACAAACTTTTGAGGCCAGTTGTTGGAAGTTGACTCAGATTGAATTCCTTATCTATTACTGTGGAGATATATAAAGCATCTCAACAGGTTACTAGAGTGCAACGGTCAAGCAGATACAGTGCTCGCCTCTTGTTCCTTGAGTCAGCAGTTTGATCCCCGGGCACTGTCAGTTCACCCAGCTGTACGTGGGTATCTAATTTTACAACTTTGGGTAGTGAAAGCGGTCGAGTGCAGTACCAGCCATGCTACCTCCTTGTGTACCAGAGGCTTAGTATACAGTGTGCTGTATCCACACTGTCCCTAATGGGCAGTCATACCTATGGGACCCACTTTCACAGGTTACTGGTGTAATTAGTTTAGCAGAGTGAGTGTATATAAAGATAAAAAGGGGAAAATTCTTAATTACTTTTTCAGAATTGTGTTTTGGTAATACTCTACAGTATATATACTTCTTTTCCTGATAAAAATGGTTTTACTAGGGTTTTTATTAATAAAAGATTTTTCAAATAATATATCATACTTTGGGAGACTTGAAACAACAGTTCTACTTCATTACAGTATTGTTAAGAAAGTTCCACTTGGAGCTTTTGTATCACCACCTCCAAGTTGCCTTGCTTGCTTTTCTATTATGAGAGCTGCCTGGCTATAGGGCTTAGCTGGAAATGGAGGATTTATCCTGACATATTGATTTCTAGTAGAGTTCATAGCCATATAACTCAGACGCCTTCCCTCTAATTGGTGGATTAGTTGGCTGGAACTGAAATACAAATGGTGAATTGATCCTTGTTTTGAACTGATGGAGGTGAACCTCAGTATGGAACATACTGAATGGGCACACTTGGTTCACTTAAGACATTGCAACCCCCAGAGGGTATCTGTTACACTGTCACCCAAAGTAAGTAGGAATAGTGTGATCGGGAGAGAGGGGTGACAGGTGTGCCTAAATGGGTTATTAAATAAACCTGGCTTGCCTAAATGATGAACAGAAAGCATTTTCTAGTTCCTCAGTCATTAGCTTGATATGAGGGACACTTGGTTACAAGAATCAGTATAAAACAGGATTTCAATATCATTCCTTCATTTTTTTATCAGAGTCGTGTTGACATGCTGAAGAAAGATGACGATGTGTTAGTGTTCAAGTTACGTGATCCAGGTAGTCTACATCGGATCAAAGGAGCTGAACCAGAAGAACAGGTAAGGTGGTTTTGAATCAAACTTTACTGAATATTTTATGTTCTAACCATAGCAATAGAGGTAACTGTACATTCAATAGATTAATTTTCAAATTTTTTAGTTAGCAGAATGTTGAACCCCTACGCCCCGGGCTAGGGTGCTGCTGGCCGTATCCCCCACGTGGGGTAAATCGAAAAAAATACATTTTTCCAAAAATAATTTTTAACCTTTTTAAACGATAAAACAATAAAAAAGAAGTAAGAAAAACTATATATTGACCCTCTAGAAACTTCCCTGGGGCCGCAGTGGCGAGGGGGATAAGGGGACAGTGTTGTTTTGACGGCTAGCACTCGTGGTCACTACGCACTTAGCAGCCATTTTTAGCTTGCCTTTGTATCTGGGATGGCCAGTAATGCATATATTTACTGATCATGGTACTTATTTTCTATAAATAATTAATTTAGAATATTTTATTTGCATTATTTTTCATAAAAAGTGCTCGGCAACACACACGCAGTTTGTCGCCAGGCTGTCTGGCTGTCTTTGTGTTTGATAGAGCAAGTAATGCATGTAAATAATTATCGGAATAATAATTCCACAAATAAATACATTCATAACACAATCATAGCATTATTTTCCTGTAATACTACACTACAATACAACTACACTACTTTTAGCAATATTACTTTGATACAACATGATAAAATGGACAAACAATGAAAATGAAAACAAAAGTAGGTAATTACATTCAGGAAGCTTCCCTGTGGCCAAGCAGGTGGCGTGACAGGCAAATAGTCACACTGGAACCTGATAACCCGCGCTGGGCATTTAAACAATGCCGCAAAAAGGCGCACGTTCCGTAACGTCCGTAACGTCAACCAGGGCGTAGGGGTTAAGGCATACTATTTGTGAAGGAAGCCTTTCTCTCACCTTTATTCATTCATTCCTAATCACTGATGCCTTTCTCCTATCAAGTGTCTATAGCAGTTTATCAAACCCTGGTAAGCTCTTCTGTGAATATAATAGATAAATCTTAAATCTTTACCCCACATAATTTTTTATACAGTGAAACCTTGTTAATTTGGATTAATTAGTGGAAAGGTGATCCAGATTAGCAAAATATCTTGATGCAAATTTCAAAGCACAATGGCCTACATCATAAAAAATAAATGGCAAATTAACAGATGTAATGAAAAACAAAACAAAAAACCCAACACTAGCCTGTAAAACACAAATAAAGTGATTATTTATTTAAATAAGTGCTTATCTTTAATTCCAAAGAGCTCCTGGCTCCTAAAGGGAGTATATAGGCAGTGATGGTAGATAGTGTTGAGGCAGTGTGGGGCAGTTGTTTTAGCACTATCATATACTGTACTGTACTTTCTACAGTACAATATAGTACTGTACAGTACTACTAAATCACTTATACTCCATGTACATAATTTTGAGTCACTATCACAAATATCTGACTAACCAGATTGTAAATTCTGTTTAGGAGGTTCAGTAGAAGGTGTAATAATATTACTGAGATCTGACACACCACTGAGACTTGAACCAGAACAGAAAGAAGTGGAAGGGCCAGGAATCGACACATTGCCCAAAATGCTATCCAGATTAAGTAACTTCTGGATCATCTGCATCCAGATTAACAAGTTTCACTGTAATTGTTTTTCATATTCTAAAATTCTCTTGCATCAAACCTTCACTAAATTTGTTTTTCTTAGAGACTTGATTTGTTATGTTTCCGTCAGTCCTCCACTTCTTTTACCTATTCTTGAAGTTTTAAATGATAACTTAAAAGCAGTCTATGGATCTGCCAACATCTCCTTATTAAACCTTGAACCACAATTAAATTTTTCCTCATCCTCTAGAAGGATCACCAACACAGGTGTTATTACAATACAGCACACCCTTCAAATTTGCTGATTTTTAATTTGCGGATCTTGATTATCATGGATGACACCCTGAATGTACCCAAGAGTGTTTAAGGATAGTTTTAAAGTTGCTGGCATTTTTGCGGCCGGGACGGGGAGCCATTCGTTCTAGAGACAGTAATTTCCTTTATCTGTATTGTATATATATGTTTGTGTGTAGACACACACACACAAAACACATACAAATTAATAATAATGGGAAAATCCTCTCACAAATAATCAGAAACAAATATGCAGCTACTCCTCGACTTACGACATACTCGACCTACTACCATCCGGACATACGACCGCCTCAATCGTACCAAAATTGTCAAATTACTTATTTTCAAGTCCCAGCGTCAGTGATTGCGCTGTGTACTGACAAAATTTTCGTTTGTAATTCACTTTAAAATGGCTGGCAAGCTTAAAAGTGAGAGTTTTCTGGTGCTGAGAAGAAAAAGAGACACCCATTTTAGATTTTTTTCTATGTATTATTTAAGCATTTTCGACTTACAACCTGGATTTCGGTCCCTAACCCCGTCGTAAGTCGAGGAGCAGCTGTATTAAAAATGTTGAGTCTACTCTCAAGTCCACTTCATGCCCCCCTCCCCAGGTCAGCACATGTTATTTGCGGATTTGGCGAGTCTCAACCATTTTGAGAACCTAAACTCCACAAATTTGAAGGGCATGCTGTATAAATCTTTTGGATGATACCCTGTCATAGGTCTTAGAGTACAGGGCTTGTCTGATACCAATGCACTTTGGGTAAATTAAATGTGATGAAAATACTGACTGTATGTATATTATGTATGTGCTCCATTTATATACATTATTTATTCAGCCTAGCTAGCAGCGTGTGGCAATGTATTTACCATGTCCCACACGCTTAATTAATGTGCCTGGCGACATATGGAAGCTGCTAATGTATCACTTGCCACATGTCGCCTGAAAGGCTAGTTGACCCCCCAGACAGAGTAAGGAGAGCCACCTCGCTTGTGTATCTCTGTTTGTCCAGTAAATAGAACCTACGAAAACTCTACAGGTGTTTGTGTTCGCTCCTGTAGATAGAACTTGGTACCCAGAACATATACACTGACTACAGTACACTTTTTCACATATCCGTTGAAACATTGTTACATAACTATTTGACAAATTTCATAAGCGAATGACAGAACACATATCGAATGACAATCTAAAATAACTGTTCGTTCATGCTAACAGAAATAATTGACATAAGTTATGAAGTTGACAGACATGAACAATAAACCAACAGTCTACATATAGTTTGAGAATGTAACAATTGGAGAATGACATACCACCAACAGTTATTTTAGATTGTCATTCGATATGTGTTCTGTCATTCGGTTATGAAATTTGTCAAATAGTTATGTAACAATGTCTCAACAGATGTGTGAAAAGGTGTATTACAGTGAACATGCACCTGTTGATCGAAATTAAATGTTACACTTTCTCTTTCCCTGGGTTTGTTAAAGACAGTTATTCTTGTTTATATTGTGATTCAGAGCTAAACTTGTGCTGTAAAGGAATAGTAAAACTTAGTCATCATCAGTGATGATTTATGCAAGTAGGAAAAGTATTTTAGGCTCCTAATTCTGTTTTCTTCTTGGCCAGGTTGTGTACAAGATAATAGAAGAGTGTGGAACACAAGGTATCTGGGCAAGGGAAATACGTGCCAAAAGTAACCTCCACCTCAACACTGTTGAGAAGGTTCTACGAAAACTCGAAAGCAAGAAATTGATCAAAAGTTTTAATTCAGTTGCGGTAAGTTCGAGGAAAATGTTGTTAACTGCATCATTAATAATTTACAAATTATGATGATGTTATATCTTTATAGTAGCTCTAACATACTGTTCATCCAGAAAACAGTTAAGGTAGTTAATATTCATTTGTACAATTCATAAATTGCTATTCACTTGAGCCTCCTGTCGGCAGTCTCATTCATGTTTGGCTTCAGCCAAGAGTAACCTATATTCAGTACTGTTTTATGAGAGAAAATAATCCCAAATGATGCAAACATTGTTAAGAAAGAAGTAACATCCATTTAACAAAAGTTATTTCACTTGGTTGATGAATTACAGCAATATCATTTATCTCATATTTATTGATAGTCATATTGTATAATTATTGATACCAAGGAATAGTATATAGAATTTAGTCATTTCATTCTTTTTAAATGCATTTTTTAGTTACATGTGGTGAACACACATTGTTTGAAATATGAGGACATAGCTTAAATTATTTTATTTTATTATTTTTTAAATATTTTCTGGCACTATACTGTAGATGTCTCAGTATTGGAGACATAACAATTACAAAATGAGTGATGTTTAGTTTTTCTCATGTTAGGCACCCAAGAAAAAGACTTACCTTCTCTACAACCTTGAACCTGACCGCTCACTGACTGGTGGGGCTTGGTACTCTGACCAGCACTTTGATTCTGAGTTTGTTGATATATTAAACCAACAGTGCTGGAGGTGAGTATTCCACTCAGTAATTCATATTTGTTTGTTAGTTCAAATAAAAAATTTATTACCGTATTCATATATTTTCTTAGTTAAGATACTTTTGAGTCACTGTCCCACAGATTAAGAGCAAGTACTATGTAAAGGATTATAGGCATTTAACTTATCACACTTGCTTTTTATTTTTATTAATCACATTTATATTATACATTGTTTATTGTGGCCTCTCCTGCTTCATGTGTAGAAATAACCTCTTGTTTATAAATACTGTACTACAATAATAGATTTTTTCAGTAAGACTAAAGGTGTAGTTCTGTAATGAGCCTATATTGTCAATTAATTTTTAACTCAAATCATTACACTGCTACTTGGATTAAAGAGTATCAACACTTTAACAATACGGTACATAAAAATACTTTGATGATAGTAGGTAGTAGGCAGCTACCAAACAGGGAGGTACTACCACCTGGGAAGATATTGGAAGCATGATATGTTGTCTAATGGTAGACCCTGCTGCCATATGGCATCACAAAAATTGCGACCAAGTCCCAGGTTGCTCATCTGACTTTCTGCCTCATTTACACACAATTGCAGGGTCTCAATTGTTTCTCTTACTATTGACAACACAACATACATACAGTACAGGTTGACCATCAAAAATCCGGCAATCGATAAACCGGAACCTTCAGTTTTCCGGCATGGATTTCGGAGCGCATTTTCAAATATTTCTTTGTTTATTTAATGAAGATATATGTTTTAGCTCATAAAATTCATACAAATTACCCGGCCAGAATATAATTTACATTGCTGGAATTCTTACAATTTGATGATCATTTTGAATATAAACATCATAGATTTTGCATTAGACATACAAATTTTAGATATAATGTTTACTCTGAGTAAATATGTTATCTTTTGTGCAAAATATATGACATTTATATTCAAAATATTCCTGGTCTTACAAGGAATCCAGCAATGTCAATTATATTATCCTAACTTTAGTCTGAGGTATTATTTATTACTAAAAGTTAAAATTAGTTTTTTCACCCAACATTTCTCTGGTAGGGAGGGAAGGTGGGGGGAGGGTTGGGACCGACCGACCATCTGGCGCGGTTGGAAGAGGGGGGGAGGCAAGTTGGGGTACTTTGATTGACAGATAGTGTCGTGAAGAATATTTTTTTTTTTTATTAACTGAAGATATTTGTTTTAGCTCATAAAATTCATACAAATTACCCGGCCAGAATATAATTTACATTGCTGGAATTCTTACAATTTGATGATCATTTTGAATATAAACATCATAGATTTTGCATTAGACATACAAATTTTAGATCTAATGTAATAATTTGGTTTACACAAAGCAAATATTTTATCGTTTGCAAAATATATGAAGTTTACATTCAAAATATTCCCTGACCTGCAAGGAATCCAGAAATGTCAATTATATTGTCCTAACTTTAGTCTGAGGTATTATTTATTACTAAACGTTAAAATCTAGTGGTTTCACCCAAACATTTCTCAGAGAGGTAGGAGCTAGTGAGCTGGGAAGAGGGGGGGGGGGATTTGAGTCCATTATTTGAATGGACATTAACCTGGCGACTGTATTTCTCTTAAATATTAATTGTGTGAGCATACCATCATAAAATTTAGATGTTATTTTTACTACAACATAGGTATTGTGTCGGAAAAAGTGGAGTTTGGGGGTCGGGCCAGTCTCTATTGGAATTAATCCCATATGTTCTGTTGTTCACTTTACGCGGTTTTCACTTTCTTGGGTTCAATTGACGCATAAATCGGGGTACTACTGTATTATTATTATTATTATTATTATTGTATTATATTTCCCTCCCCCACCCCCCACCCCCGCCCGTGTGTCAGTGACCTGTGCCCGGGTGGGCTAATCCCCGTAAAAAAAAAGAAAAAAGAAGAAGAAATACCTGTCTTTGGTGTGCATCAATGTTTTCCTTGCCAGATTTCTTGAACAAAGAACAGTGAGAGCAAGACAGGTAGCTGGTGGTCCAATTGCTGTTCGTAATGCATCATATGTTGCTTCCAAGGAGGTCCTCAGACACATCACAGAACTGGGCATTACAAAGGTATTGTAACCATTGTAAATCTAAACTTTAGACTTAAGCCAATTTTTCCCATCACTAAACACTTACCTCTTGAGAAAATGTTCTTATAGCTGACATCCTGGCCGTAGCACTTTCATATCCAGTGGGTAATATATTCCACCAGTGTTATAAGAATTTAAAAAATAAATAAATAAAATAATAATAATAATAAATTTGGTGTGAAAATCAAGAATAGGGTCATTTTTGTAACATCTGTGAAATAGAATAAATGACAATTACATTTCTCATGTCTGTGAAATACTGTAGTGCCTCAAATTGTATACAACAAAGGGCAGGAACTGATTAAAGTCGGTCTCTCTCTCTCTCTCTCAAATTTATATTTTCTTAATGTAATGTACTGTACTGTACTGTACTGTACTAATAATGGATGAAACAAATACCACATGGTTGGTAGTGTGATATGTGAAGTAAATGTTACAAAGTTGATACCTGTGCAGTACAGTAGTAGGGATAGGTGAAGCATATAGCACATGTTTGTTCTGTATGCAGTGAAAGGATTAGGATTTTATTTTAATTTATTTAAATTATTTTTTATTGCACTTAAAAACTGTACAGTACTGTACATTGGGATCCCCCAACTTACAAACGTCAGACTTACTAACGCCCACCGATATGAACGGGGTTAAACTTGTAATTTATAGTATTTTATTTACCGGATGACTTATTTTTTACCTTCATTTAATGTATTTTAAAGGTATATAAGGACTTAGGCTATGATTTAATGAGATTTTAAACATTGTTCTGTAAGTTCGGTAGTAGGCAGCTACCAAACAGGGAGGTACTACCGCTTGGGAAGATATTTGAAGCATAATGTGTTGTTTAATGGTAGACCCTGCTGCCATATGGCATCACAAAAATTTTGACCAAATCCCAGGTTGCTCATCTGACTTTCTGCCTCATTTACACACAATTGCAGGGTCTTAATTGTTTCTTGTACTATTGACAACACAACACACATATATTGTTTCTCACTTTTGATCTTTTTTCATTTTTGTATTTCTTTACGCGGGTTTATAATACACGGATTTGCAAATACGCGGATTGCCCCGCCGGAGGAATATTCTGTACATTGAAGTAATTGAAGTACATTCAAATCGCGCGCCATTCAACTCGCGCGCGGCACCGAACACGCGACACCGCCCGCTCCCTCAACCTCACACACACACACACATAGCTCTCCCTCACTCAGTCAGTCTCGCTGTAACCACGCTTGTGTTGACATCAGCATTGAAGTTGCAAAAATATTACATTTCCGTGAATGTATTATATCAAGCACAGCATGAATAGAATATCACTAATATAAGAGTATTTTAACCGAAAACTACTAAAAAAACCAGTAACATATCTTGAACATCGGAAGGTTAGGTAAAGTCTTTTGTTTTTATGTAGTTTATCCTAATTTACATTGAAATGCATTACGTTTCAGCAAGACTACTATTTATTTCTGAGAATATGGAAATGTAATATTTTGCTGAAATGACGTACGTATTACAGTGGAAAGTGACGAAAGCAATGACTCGCTTTCTTTCGTTCAAAAGATGTTACCGTAATCGCTTTTCGAATGGTTTTCAGTTAATAAACTGTTGTACTGTATTACAATAATATTCTATCCTAATTCACTTGTGATGCAACATTTTTTTTGACTGAAAACCATTCGAAAAGCGATTACGGTAAGATCTTTTGAACGAAAGAAAACAAAAGTCATTGTTTTCGTCACGATTTTATCCCACTTTCCACTAATACGTACGTTATTTCAGCAAAAATATTACATTTCCGTGAATGTAGTATATCAAGCACAGTATGAATATAATATCATTGTAATATAACAGTATTTTAACCGAAAACTATTAAAAATATACCGTATATCACGGCCTATAAGACGAAATTTGAACATTAAAAAAATCTGCCCAAAGTTAGGGGGTCGTCTAAACCACCAAGTTTAAAATTCTTACCTCTTAAATATTGTGGTTTAGTGTGTCAAGAGTGGTGATGAAAACATCGTAAGCCACTCACAAGGTCTTACCACTAATTATTTTATACTGAAACTTACGTTTGGCAAGCTGGATTCAAATTAAGATTACCGGTATATTAAAATAATAAAAATGTATTATAAACCTGTCTAACATACCGTAAAAGAGATTTATACCCCTATAATAAACACAGCTATCATCACACACCCCTCCCCATTTGCCAGTGAGGAGCCGTGGAGGTGGTCAGTAATGCATACCGGTATCGGTATATTTACTCATAATAATATTTATCTCCTATAAATAATTGATTTAAATTTTATTTTTTTCCAAAGAATATTCAGTAAATGAGTGCATTAATTCTTGAAACTATCGACGGTTAATTACAGACGCTCAAGTGACGCCACTAGTGTTTACACTACACCAGCTGGTAATATTTGATGCCATTACTTGAAGTGAATTGGCCTTATTTTAAGTAACTAACTATAAATAAATACAAAAATTAAAAAAAAAGATCAAAACTGAGAAATAATATACTGTATGTATGTTGTGTTGTCAAAGTAAGAGGAACAATTGTGTAAGTACGTAATATTTTTTCACTCAAATCCTAATGAAACACTACTGGAGAACATTCCTTTGTCGCAAAACAGTTTATAAATTAAAGAAAATAATTACAGTGTGTTTAATATATTACAGTATATTATAAATAAATAAATAAAACAAATAATTCGGTAAATCTATTTAAAGTAAATGGAAAATAAGCAAACATGTTATTTACCAAGACCCTTCCGTCTGGCTCAGGGTGAGATGTAGGGGAGATAAAGAAGGCTATTTATAGCCCATCAGAAGTGACCAGTACCCTAATGCACCATAAATAATTCATTGAACATTCATTTTTTGTACATAGTATATTCAGTGTATATATATATATATATATATATATATATATATATATATATATATATATATATATATATATATATATATATATATATATATATATATATATATATATATATATATATATATATATATAAGCAAGCTATAAATTAAAGAAAATACTTGCAGTGTGTTTAATATGTTACAGTATATTATAAATAAATAAATAAACAAATAAATCAGTAAATCCATTTCAAGTAAATGGAAAAATTTTACTCGACACAGACATTAGTTCCAGTTACCGGTAAATAGCAGACGCTTCAGTGACATCACTAGTGTTTACACTACACCAGCGGGTAACATTTGATGACATTACTTGAAGTGAATTGGCCTTATTTTAAAAAACCAAGGATGGTTGGTAAAGGACTACTGAGTCAGTGGGTAAGTGTCACATTTGGGGTACTGGTCTTATACAGCAAATAGAGCTCAAAAGCTACTTTTTAAATGGAAATTTGGGGGGGCCGTCTTATGCACCCCGACGCCTTATAGGCCGCAATATACGGTATTTTATCCTATTTTACATTGAAATACATCACGTTTCAGCAAAACTACTATTTATTTCTGAGAATATATTCATTCAGGCACAGTTTAGGTAAAATATACATGTGCTGTAACATTTTTTTCATTGAAAACGATTCGAAAACACGTACCCTCTAGCCCTGTTCAAGGAGAAGACTGGGAGGAGCTGTTTGGTGCTTAAGACGATGACAAGGAAAAGATTTTGATGGATTTTAATGAAAATATTCAGAAAGACCCTGGCACTGTCAAGGAAAGTGGCTGCTGTAGGCTTCCAGGACATGGCAGAGGACAAGATTAGGGAGCTAATTGTAGAGCACGACACTGAGCTGACTGAGGAGGATCTACAGGAGTTAGTAGACTCGGGCAAGGAAGAGGAAGTGAAAGGGAAAGAGGATGAGGAAGAGCACCAAGAAATAACGTTGGAGAAGTTGGGGGAGATGACCAGGAATATTGAGGCACTGAAAAACCTGGCCTATAGTATGGACCCCTCCATGGTGCGTGCCCTGAAATTCATGCGAGGGATGGATGTCGTTTTCGCTCCATACAAAAACATCATGGAAGAAATGAAAGAAAGAGACGACAACTCCCCATCACCATGTTCTTTGATCACCGAAGGAGAGATTTAACACCATCAATCACTGGCGGCAGTGAGGAAGCAGCTGAATCCACCGTCGCCCCCACTTCACCACCCGTTATGGAATTGAGTGACGATGAGCCCGATGACCCCCGTCCTGTCGCCGAGGATAGGTACTGTACAGTAAAGTGAAATTTTTATCTCTTTTTTTTTAATAGCTTTTCTTGCCATGTTTATTGTTTGTAAAAATGCACAGCACAGTACAGTTCAGTACTGTACATAGGAAATGGAGGTGCAGTTATTCACAAAACATTTGTGTTCTTTGTCGGCAGTAGTGACGGTGAGGAGGTGGAGGAGGCAGAAGGGGTGGAGGAGGCAGAGGAGGTGGAGGAGGTAGAGGAGGGAGCGAGTTGGGAGGAGTGGTGACCTTGGACGCGGGAGCAGGGACGAGTGGAGATGCCAGCCAGTACATTACGGGTGTATTAATTGTTTTTATAGCTATTTTTGCATTTTAATATTAAATATTGTACATTAACGTTTCAACAAAACTACCATTTATTTCTGAGAACATGGAAATGTAATATTTTTGCTGAAATGATGTACGTATTACAGTGGAAAGTGACGAAAGCAATGACTCGCTTTCTTTCGTTCAAAATATGTTACCTTAATCGCTTTTCGAATGTTTTTCAGTTGTGGGATTATAAGGCTAATGATAGGATAGAATATTATTGTAATACAGTACGAGTACAACAGTTTTTTAACTGAAAACCATTCGAAAAGCGATTACGGTAAAATCTTTTGAATAACGAAAGAAAGCGAGTCATTGTTTTCATGATTTTATCCCACTTTCCACTGTAATATGTACGTCATTCCAGCAAAAATATTATATTTCCATATTTATTTCTGAGAATACCTATATTCATTCAGTCACAGTTAAGGTAAAATATACTTGTGATGTATTATTTTAATGAAAATACGGTATCGTAGTTTTCTTTTGTTTCGAATTTAATTAACAAAGATTGATGTTTCAAATGTAATGAACAAAAATTTATGTACAGTATCTATAAATAAACTTTAATAAATGAATACTTTGTTTTACATCGTCCTGTGCTACCATACCATGGATTTGGCTAATTTGGGCTTGCTATGATGACACAAGATATCTGCCCTGGCAACTGTACCGACACTCACAGCTGGTGGTGCGTTGGTGCATCGTTTCCATTGTTTATTGGTAGTTACTGGTAAATATTTTTCAACCTAACGAAACTATTACCCGTTTAGAGGTCGCCCCCCAATTTTTTGCCAAATAATTTGGTCTTTAAAACTTGAACTACACACAGGTATATACGGTAAATAAGGACATGGGGGGACCAGGGTTTTTTTTTGGGGGGTGGCAGCACATATACACGGATTTTTAACATCCACGGGTATCTGTGTTACGTAACCCCCCCATATGTTAAGGGCCGACTGTATTATTATTACAGTGTTGTTATTATTATTATCATTACAGTATTATTTTTTTTTTTTTTTTTTTTTTTATTTACTATGAATTATTATTATTATTATTATTATTATTATTATTATTATTATTATTATTATTATTATTATTATTATTATTATTATTACAGTTTCACCTCCCAGGCCCCGATGTGGGTCAGTGACCTGTGCCCTGTTGAGCTAATCCCCGTAAAAAAAAGAAAAGAAACATAGCATGTGTTCCAACTTATGTTCAAATCCAACTTAAGAACGTACTCAGGAATGGAACCATTCATAACCCAGTGATCCCCTGTATATGTATAATGAACTAAAATACATGATATTGCAGTTGTTATGAACTGTCTAAATTTCTCTTGAAATCTCCATGGAATTATTTTTGTTCCATTTCTCTGTCTTATAGGCATTAGATCTGTACAGTATGGTATTAAGTTACCCAGTCTCCGAAATTTATCTTCAGTGTTTTTATATCTTTCAGGTACAGCTAAGCATAGATGATATTGAAACCATTCTAGAAACATTAGTGTTTGATGGGAAAGCAGAGCAGTCCATAGCAGCCGAGGGAACCCAGGGAGTCAAGCTGTACCGTGCTGTCACATCTTTCTTACCCACACCTGCCCTCATGATGATTCCGTGTGGGGTCTGTCCAGTAAGTTTTTGTCACATAAGATTTCATGTGTTTGATATACAGGTTGGACCTCACTAAACTGAGAAGCTTGGGGTCAGACCGGTTCCGGATTAGCGGAAATTCCGAACCATTGAAGCCTACGTTAAAAAAAGGTAAAATACAGTTGGTTCTCAAATTTCGTTAGTTTTTAATTCAACGTTCTTTATTTGGACAAACACAAAAAAACACTACACGATTTCAAATTTCGATGGCGGAAATTCGAATTTCGACGGATTTGAGTGGATTTGAGTAGCCCGCCAACGTTCAGACATGCACAATCGTGTAAACAGCATCATTTTCTTATGAACAAAAGATTCATTATTGTTTATTACTAAATGTCTTTTTGATTGAATTAATGTTTTGTGTGCAAATTGAACAATGCAATTCATTAATAATACGTAGAATATTAAAACACACTAGGAGACGAGACGGCATTGTTTTCGTTAATGTTTACAAAACCAGTGACTGATTGGTTCTACATATAAAACTGAAGAAAATAATACCCTGATTGTAGCTGTAGTAAAATTAATGTAAAAACATTAATATGGTTGTTTTAAGTAACATTATTTAATGTTAATAAATGGGACAATAAAAGTAGCTAACCATTAATGGTAAAGAAAAAATGTGAGATTGCATATGTAAGTGCACACATGTGAAAACATTTCATCATTACTCTACATAAGAATATGAAAGCAACATTTATTTACTGTTCTTATGTATTTTAATTAATGTTTCTGAATTTAAAACAAAAATTCTACCCTCCAATGGTGGTAAAGTTGAAAACATTAGGACAGTCAATGTTGTTGTGTGTGTTTTTACTCAGATGACGAAGTTGCCAAGTCATCAGGTTCAACTCGAGCTGAGCTGTAGAACATAAAACTTTTTCTGTGTTGTTTTTAGATTTTATTTAACTTTATCTGTGTTATTTTCGTTGTTTTATTAGGATGTTGCTTTATTACAGGTAGTAATTCTCCCAAAAAGTAGGGTAAATAAGGCAAAACTTAGCCAAACATCGAAAGTACCAGACTCAAATTAATTTTCTCCATAGGAAGTTGTATTTAAATTTAGACGATTTGAATTTCGCGAGGTTTTTACAGTTTAAATAGGTGTCCAAATATGAGAGCCTGCTGTACCTATAATGCATAAAATGTACTATTGCTGGTACCAATACATTACAGCTTACATCAGCATAAATCTAGCCCAGGCTTACTGGACCTCTTTATGACAAAGTGTTAGTGCTATGGCACAAGTTAACTGTACTGTAACACTGAAATAAGTACAATTAAAAAATTAAAATGATTCAAAGATTAAAAAAAAAGTAGGAAAATTTTTTTCCTTAGATATGTCCGTCTTGAGCCAAAATTTCAAGGAACCAAGGCGTCAGCTTGCAGGACACAGATATTTAAGAGTTATCAATTGTTGTTTGTGTGAATATTATTTCATTCACCCTAGTAATGGTACAATGTTTCATTTTATGTTATTGTAGGTAAATGCATGGCTTATACGTATAATTTGTTTATGATTGTGCCCGTCACCATTTTCAAATTAGACTACAAGATATGTGTTTCTCCTATACGTATTTTATTTTGATCGTACACCTGGCAACGGGAGCCTGGGAGCGAGTGAGTGACTGCTGGTTATCGTGTCATCTGCAGTTGTTACTCTCCTCCCTCTGCCATATTTCACTGGATTTACTGTTATTATTATTGTTTACTGATATAATAGTGATTAATCATCACCCCCTAGGCCCTGTTGTGGGTCGTTCTGCCTGTGCCTGGGTGGGCTAATCCCCTTAAAAAAAATAATAATAAAAAATTTAAACAAGTTAATGTAACCACCAGGTTACTGGGCCAAGCTGTGGTGTTGTGACTGTTTTTCAACTCGTATTTTCGTGTTGATATACATGTTATTTTTCCGACATGACTGCCCTAATCGCCCTTCGTATGCCAAAAAATTAACACACCTAAGTAAAATGAGAAGGGCTAGAGTACCAACTATAATTCACAATAACTTAACTCATCAAAAATGAATTACAATTACTCACTGTAATTGTAGTATTACCTCCAGTGATGGCATTTATCATCCACTGAAAGAAGGTAAATACTGGACTTTATATATTTATGGCTTGTCTGTTTACCAATATACTGATAATTTTTCCCCGTATCCTTTTATGGCATAATAAGTGAATTAAAATCAGAACTTACTGGATGTTTTGTGATTCTCATATGTCGTAACACTATCCTATAATTTCCCCATATGATATATACCACTGGCCAGAAGTTATAATATAGGGTACTTAGCCTTGGTGGATAGCGAGACTCTTTTCATGTTTAGAGGGCCTGGATTAACGTCCATATGGTGGATCCAGGTCTCTATGTACGTCGTAAATATTTTGTAATGTTGAAGCTTCTTGATAATCACTCTGGGCTGGTCTTGTACAGTAATTAGACACACTCAAGGGTCTATGTCTCACAGCGGTTTGTGCCTACTCTCAGCGTTGTGCACCACACTCCTCGGCTTCTGGATTCACACTCCTAATTTTCAGTTTCAGCACCTCGGCTCATCGCCTCGATGTGTGTGTGTGTGAAGTATGCGGAGGAATACACAACACGTCACGTTTTTACATATTGCTATGATTAGTACTTTACTTATGAAAACTAATACTAAACTAAGTAATTTTTAGTTAGTTACAATACCAAACCCAAATACTGTATCCTCAATTATTTACATATATACTGTACTTAAGCATCACCACCTGTGTCATAATTGGTTTGATGGATTCAGTTTGTTTCACTATGATCAAACCTTAAGGATCCGTTCTCTTTAAGTGGCGAGAGGTAATACTTCTGTGGGATTTTATATTTCCCATATCACGTAACTTTCTTCATTTATTTTTACTCGGTTACATGCACACACCATCCTACATACATATTGTGAAAAAGGTGAAATGAATAATTGTCCTTAGGGTTGGGAGAACTCAAGAATCAGCATCCTGGCTGATCTTCATTACTATGGTGAAACAGGGAGTGTATGCAAATGGCGACTGTGTTAAACTTTCCTTTGGCTTTTATTTACTGATTTGGCAGTCCATCACTTTTTATTGGAACTGTATTATTTTTATTTATTTTTCACACCACATTTCATTGTACAGGTTGGGTATCCCTTGTCCGAAATTCCCAAGTCCAAAATGCTCTGAAATCCGAAAGTCTATTTCATTATATTAATGGTAGATAATACACTGAATATGGCATATTTCATAATTTTTACCAGGGTAAGTCTGTACAGTATGTGTAATGAATAAAGGTAAGACGCAGGCTGCTTAGTGCCTCCGAGTCAGGCGACATGGCAATGCCAAACAGATGGTAGTGATTGCTTACCATTCTGAGTCTTTAGTGTACATCTTATCATACATTTTATACCCAAAATGATTAAATTATATTTTATAAAACTACCTGCAGAATATATGTATCCATATGCTGCAAATGAAATCTAAATGAATTTTGTGCATAGACTTGGGGCCCCATCCCTGCTGGTGAGTTACTGCATTATACAGGATATAGGTATTCCAAAATCCGAAAATATCCCAAATCCAAGACCCTTAAGGCCCCAAGCATTTCGGAAAAGGATGCCCAACCTGTACTGTATATGTTGTTTTAAGAAACCTACAGCTACAGGAGGAAAATGCACACAAAAGTTTTTCCTAAATAGTGCCTGCCGTAAAATATGGTACTGTATTAACATCAAATTTCTATATAAATGATGTGTGTGTGACGTCATATTGAGGGTGGGAGGGCTCCTCAGTTATCAGGTGGCTCACTTGCCACTGACCCACACACACACACCCATGTTCTTTCTTTTTTCTTATTTTATTGTTTTATATTATATTATCTTTATTTCTAAGCCACATTATTTTAATAATTTTTATACAACTTTTATAGCATTAATGCTCTAGATGTGGTTGTGAAACATGGCACTGCATGTGTGTGTGTAATAACAATAAATAATAATTAATGGTTTATTGAAAAAGTTCTGCAGCCTGAAGGCTGAAAATATACATTAGACAATAATGACTTATTTCTTAAAATGACATGGGTGGGTGGGTGGGTCGTTTAACAAAAGCATTCATAAATGAAAGGAGAAGGAACATGAATTGAACATACAAATTATTATAGCTTATAGCTGATGGACCGGGCTGGTCTCTTGCCATACTGTGTGAGGTCACGTAGGCCTCGTGGTTCAGTAACTCATCCTCGGGTGTTGATATGAAGGACCTCACGGGGTCATGGAGACACCGGGTGGTGTGGTATTCACGTGGTGCAGTAACTCGTCCGTAGGTGGTGATATGAAGGACCTCAAGTGGTCATGAAGACACTGGGTGGTGTGGTGTTCACGTGGTATAGTGATTCGTCCTCGGGTGTTGATATGAAGGACCTCACGTGGTCATGGGGACACTTGGTGGTGTGGTGTTCACGTGGTATAGTGACTCGTCCTCGGGTGTTGATATGAAGGACCTCACGTGGTCATGGGGACACTGGGTGGTGTGGGGTGGTGTCACAGTACCTCACTCTCTCTGCTCGGTGGTGTTGTGTTATCTCGTAGTCGGGTGTAAAGTCGACCCACTGTTGTTCCCTGGGTGGACGGATTAACACCTTCTGGTCAGAGGATGGTTCCCAGGGGTGCTTATCTCGCTGGTGGATCGCGGCTCTCGCTGGTATCGTCTAGCGCTGAATTCACTGGCTTAAACACTGTTCATCACTATTCAACACTGATCCCACTTCTTTCCAAAACGAAATTGTCACTTTTGATTATGTTGATAACCCTGTGGTGAGGATGGGTCGGGGAGAGGGACTTGGGGAATGGGCCGAACATTGGCCAAGGGAGGCAGCTGCGCAGCAGCGCCTGATAGGTCTTGACCCTCCGGTGGTCAAGGATGTAGTGTGTGTGTGTGTGTGTGTGTGTGTGTGTGTGTGTGTGTGTGTGTG